TCTGTTGATGCACCTGAGAGGAGTAAAGACACCAGGAGGTATCACTCTGCTGCTGATTCTTGGAACCAAAAACACCAATCAAGACATTTATGTACACAGATGTAACACTCTCCTACATATGTCCAGTAATGGAATGTACATTTACTCATGTACTGTATACATTTTTACATTAAGTATTTTTATTTTATGATACTTTATACTTCTACTCCACTGGAGGCAAATATTGTGCTTTTTATGCCACTCCATTTATTTGACAGCTTTAGTGACTAGTTACATGTAAAATGTAAATGCTCCGTACTTGTATAGCGCCTTTCTAGTCTTTTCGACCACTCAAAGCGCTTTTACACTACATCTGCATTCACCAGTCACACACATTCATACACTGAGCCTAAGTGCTCCAACAGAAACTAACATCCACACTCACTCATACACTGGCGGAATAGCCGCCAGTGTATTACTTTGCACATCTGTACTGCTGCTCCACTTGGCTGTAGGCATTTAGATTATTAATACAAAATATAAACCATCTAATATGTGATGATGTATTATTATAGATAAAGCTACCCAGCATTATGTAAAGTACTTAGAATTAGCTCCCTTTTACCATCTGAAACATTAAAGTGATGAACACATTAATGCATCAGTATTTTTAATCCTGTTAATATATGATTATGAAATGGGCCACTCTGCATAATGAGTACTTTTGCTTTTGGTACTTATATTTTATTGCTAATAGTTTTGTACTTTTACTTACTATTTTGAGCATTTTAACATTGTAGTATTGCTACTTTTACTTAAATAAAAGTACAGAAGACTTCGTCCACCACTGCATATATCACATCTCGTTTTAATAATCTGAAGTTTGATTTGAGATTGAACATTCATTCTTAAGATTAGAAACGGTAGCTGAGTAGTTCCAGATAACAGCAGTTCTGGAGCTTAACCTTTAAATTGTTCTGTGAAAAATCAAAGGTTTAATTCATTCCTGCCATATTACACACAAACACACTAAATGTACTGTTAAAATTCAGAGCTAAAAATATTTTATGTAACATTTGCTTTGTTTTCTACAAAGGTAATTCGGGTCAGATGTATTTGTAGCAGCAGATGAAAGTTCATTATTGATGTTGTAAACAGTATTTTGACAGAAATATTCTTAACTCAAGGTTTAGTTACACTTTTTGGAGCTTTCAAGCACATCCTCTGTTTTCCTCAGCACATAGAAGTTGTTCTGTTGTCATAGACATAGCCCAGTTGTCACTGCGTGACCTAAGTAGCAGATCAACATTATGAGCAGTCTCATCTACTCAAGACTTGAAATGAGCCTTTTTAGTTCAGTGTGATTAATGAGAGGAGATTTCACATAAAGCAACAAAGAATGAGGCCATTCACTTGCTTTCATGTCACAACGTTCACAAAACACATGTTCTTCATATCTCATCCACAAAGGCAAGTAATAGTTGCGTCACTGTGAAAATGAAACTTTAACAATCTTCACACCTTGGCTGTGAATTTTTACACTAATCCTGTTGTTCTTGTCTTCTGTTCAAATGAGCTTCACGTTACAGAACTGAGCAACTGAAGAGCTCTTCATCAGTTTTCACAGATTACTGCAGTAAAGTGGGAATCAGAGTGAAGTATTACTGTGTTACTTTGCAATAATACATTTAACCAATATATGGGTGTGATATTTAATGAATTTGTTTAATTATTGTTATTTTAATCAATTGTTTGGTGGAAGAAGTATTTCAGATCTCGTACCAAACCTCCAGTGTGGAACCTTTGTCTCCCACTTCTGACAGAGAAAGTAATTACACAACACTGTCGACACACCCTTGTGACCTTTTTATATACAGTCTATGCCTGTGATGTACAGGCTCTGACATACTAAGTTGCTACTGTCGCTACGGTCACTCCCCCTTTCAGTTTTAGCAAACGAGTGCTGGTTGGCATAAAACCAGAAAACACCAGAAAAACACCAGAAAAACAGTGATTGTGCAGCAGCTTATTACGACCAATATTTACATTTATTGTTAGGCTGTGACCTTTTGTGGCCATGTAGCAAAGGAGGAAGTCAGCTGATGAAGAATCAAGTCCATATAAGGTGGTGAATGGATGGTTTAAACAAACACAGGACTTTCACCCACAAGACTGAGGTTTGTGTCCTGTGTGAAACCGTCAGTGTTGATTTATTTAAAATTTTAAGTTAACGTAGGTGACTTACATAACATACTCCTTTTAATCCAAACAGCGATCTTTTCCTAAATTTAACCAAGTAGTTTTGTTACATCTAACCAAACTGTGACCGTTACAGAACGTTTTACTTCACATGAAATATGTAACGTAGTCAAGTTGCTGGAGTGGTACTTTGCAATGTTCATATATTTTGTTTTGGAACAATTCACAGTTGACCAATTTTTTCATTTAGGTTTGAGCACGTGTTGCATAAAACAGATTTAAAAACTCCAGTATACAGTGAGTACAGAGAGATTTACCTGGTGCTGATAGGTTTAATCAGCATTGTGTGAACTTGTTTGGGAAGGGCTTGACATTAAAAGGACGTATGTAAAGGTCCTGCACTCTCACTTTAAGTAGCATTCAGAATTTTACTTAGTAAATGTAAAAGTAGAAAAGTTTTATCATCAAAATACACTTGTACCAAAATTACTCATATAACAATGTATATTATAGAAAATGATTATATTGTGTGATGCCTTTATGTTTAAGCATCACTTTAATGAGACAGATGGTAAAGGTGGAGCTCATTTTAAATACTTTATATACTTCTGGGTACTTTGACCTTCAGAGTTACTAGCAACCAAAGTAGTAAAAAAGTAAAACATTTCCCTCCCACATGTTTTGGAGTACAAATATAAAGTAGCAGAAAATTGAATTACTCAAATAAAGTACAAGTACCTTAAGCAGGGTACTTGAGTAAGTATACTGTATTTTTGATTTAGTGCAAATGCTTATCAAGTACGTAGAAGCATAATGCATTTTACTCAGAAGGAAACAGTGCTGTTCATGCTGACTCTAAAACCTACACATCCTATGACATGGGTGCCCATTTATAATATTGCACAGGGTGTATGAGGTCAGCGAGGGTGTACACAAGTTAGTATATATACATAAAGCTGAAATGTGAAAACTTACTTTCACATGCTACTAATTTGCAACAGCAAATACATTTCAAAAGAAACATTATGCAATGTAATGTGCTGCTGTCACCAGCAACATATTTTGTTCCCTTACAATATTTTCTTGTAATATTTATATAATATGTAATATACTTACTTTTAGGGAAAGAATGTTTTGTTAAATATTGAAAAAGGCAACAGGACATGCTTACTTTTTAATATTTAACTTTAAAATTGAAGCTTTCTTGCCCTTTACCAAAATGTAATCACATGCTGGAAGTATATAAGCTTAATCTTTAGTGGGCAGTATTACATACTTTAATCTGCTGTGCAAATAACAGTGCTGTGTGATTAAAACAGCTTCGCCAAATAGGAAAACATTGTTGCTGAATTGGAGGCTCAGAGTGGCAATTCATGAACGTGCAGCGCTGAAAATATATTATGATGCCAGAGAAAGACGATGTAGCTTTTAAAGCTGACTTCCAGTTTGTTGACATAAACGCTCAGCCGTGTCGCGCTTTCTGTGAATAATGTCATTTTATAAACACAGTGATTCACACAGTAATGTGCAGTGACTGACTTGCTGGCATGCTACAATAAAATGGATCTCAACTGTCTCAACTTTGTGAATTATGTTTACAAGATGCTAAAATTTAGGAGTCAGTTGGAGGAGCCACAGAGGTTTGAGTAGTTGTTTTCCAGCAGCCTGGTATTGGCTGCTCATACTTTAAGAGTAAACAGTGTGCAAACGCACAGGGTAATGGCACGGTAGTGCACAAATTAGAGGCTACAGATGGAACATACATATCTTGCTGCTCCGCTTGGCTGCAGACATTTAATCAGCTGAAGGGGAAGGCTTGAAGTCACAGTAAAAATAGTTATAAATGATCATCCATTAAACTTGTGCCCAGTAGAGACTGCTTTACTGACATTCTTGATATACTGGTAGCTGCATTATAATTTTGTTAAAGTGATCTTTGTATATGTCACAAGAAGTGTTTTTAGCATAATGTCAGAGAGTTCAGAAACCAAAAAACCTTGACTTGCACTGCCATATCTTTGTGCTTTTCCATAAACAGTTGTTCTGCATGCAAATACCACAAGGATCAAGACCTCCTTTCACTGGTCAATACTTTGCTATATGAAATGCCATGCAGGCCCAATTAAAAGCTCCACAGCTGAGTGATACTCATAGATACTTAAGAAGATACTTAGAATAAGATTCATGTTTGTAGCCAGGTTTACTAAAAGTCAGCAGAATAATGAGGTAGTAAAGTATTATGAAAGTATGGTTATTTTTTTCCTTCTTCAGAGACAGTTTTGATACTTCAATTGATAAAAATAGTGTATTGTTATATATATCTATATATATATAGATATATATAATTGGAGGAGTGCAAGGTCTCCGGCATCCACTAGCTCCATGATGCCGTCATGGAGGAGTGGAAGAGGACTCCAGTGGCAACCTGTGAAGCTCTGGTGAACTCTGGAGTTCTGGAAAATAATGTTAGCCACACAAAATATTGAGGGGCATTTTCACTTAGGGGTGTACTCACTTTTGTTGCCAGTGGTTTAGACATTAATGGCTGTGTGATGTGTTATTTTGAAGGGACAGCAAATTTACACTGTTATACAAGCTGTACACTCACTGTTTTACATTGTAACAAGTGTCATGTCTTCAGTGTTTTCACATGGAAAGATATAATCAAATATTTACAAAAATGTGTGGGGTGTACTCACTTTTCTGAGATACTGTACATCCCAGAAAAAGTTGTAGGACCATCTTGTTATTAGGCGATCTTTGTTTCGCAGTAGCAGTTGGTGCACGCATGCGCAGCCGCAACCTCCGCGCCCCCTGCGCTGAGCGCTGACAGCAGGCTGGCCGGAGACAGTTGCTGCTGCTGCTGCCGTCGCTGTTGTTGTTGTTGCCGTTTCCGTCTCCGCCGGCTTCCAGTCCACGTTGTGAGCTGCTATCCGGATACAACCTGACATCAGAACGGGACTTAATTTCTGTTACAGGACACAAAAAATACAGCAACAAAGTGTTTACGGAGGCTTTTGGACACGCTGACCGCCGCGCTTTCTCCTCTCCCGTCCTCCTCCTGGTGGTAACACGATTGTCCACGGAGGTAAGTGTCCGCTTCTGTGACAGTTTTCGGTGGAAGAGAGGGATGAACGGGCGGCTGCTGCCGTGTTGCTGTCCCGCACGGCTCGGTTAACTTCAGCCCAGCTTCAGGACTGTAACTGTGTTAAATGTATGAATTTACTGAAGTCTTCGCTCGTTACCGAGATGACCTAACGGCAAGTTTTTGGCAGTTAGATTCTGTTAACCGTCCACCCCGCATGGACCACACGGACCGTCCGCAACGTGGCTGCATTACGTTGAATGGGAATACTTTCTACCGTATTTCCCGCTAAAAGACAACATTATTTCCCTTAACACAAGAGCAGCTGTTCCAGGTCACTAAGTCAAGTGATTGGATTTCAAGTTCTCGGCACCTCTTCGTTTCTAGTTATTCAGAAGTACAGGTAGGCCCGCACAGGGCTGATGCACCTGTACAATGAATGATTTATCACGTATTAGCTTGTAGGTTTCCACTTAACACAATCAATACTTGGCAGCCTTAACCTTCCAGAGTTTCTGGCTGTGAAAATAACTTGATTGGAGACACACATCAATATGGTTTGTTTCAGGCAACATTTAACTTAACACAACAGAAATGCCTGAGAGAAGAGATTATTATTATTATTATTATTATTATTATTATTATTATTGATATAATTTACTATTCAGTGTGGCTTAACTAAATCGCACCAGTTAAATGATGTGTTGAAATAGTTTAAATCCTGTGTTAATTCAATATTCACGTTCCCCTGTGCATGTCCCTATGGACATAAAGAGCCCTTCTTAATGTGACTACACTGTAATTGTAAAGTTGTCATTGTAAAGTTAATCTGAAGCTAACATGAGGCTTTAGAAGTCAAATGAAATACCTTCTAAAATTAGTCATTTTCTGAATGGATGTTTGCACAGAGGAAACAGTGGAATTTATCCCCATTTCTTCCGTTGTAGTCCTGCTAGGAAGGGATTTCATCACAGCCAGTATGGACAGAAGGAAATACTACAGTGGCCAATAACTGTTTCAACGTACACATGGACATGGACAAAGTGGGGTCAGGGGACCCTCAGGGGTCCTTCAGGGGCTCCCCAGAAAAGGTTTTTTTCTTCTTTTTCCGCCCTATAATTCTATCCATAAGTGAAACGATGACAGACTACTTTGGTCATGGGTTTCATACATCATGTAAGAAAACCTGCAAATATCCTATCAGATGTGAAACCGTGGGACACACTGTGATATAACATTTCATTTTAGGGGTGCTTGACGTGAAAAGCTATGAGAACCACTGTTGAATTGAAAAAAACAGTCCTTTATGTGAGATCAGGAACAGTAATGCTATGAAGTGATTTTACAAAAAACAAGAAATCAAATATTTAAAAGTGACTGAATTTCCAGTTTTATATTATGATATCAGAATGTTATTAATATAACCCATCTCCAAAGAACACTGTTGTGTTGATGTTAAACCAGCTGATGAGGAATAAACAGTCTCAATCTCATCTCAATTGACAGTTTGAACTAAATCCAGATGAAATGAGAGACTGGGTAGGGAGAGGGTCACCTGCACTGGTAGCAGCTTAACTTATGTGGTATTCGAATGTTTGGTCAGATTTGACTGTGTGATGTGTTATTTTAAAGGGTTGTTCTAATCAGTCTGTAGTCAATCTGTGACCCTGTTAAGAGTTTCTGTCTCTGTAAGTCCAACAGCTTGTACAGCTCTGTTTCTGTTTTTGCCAGCAAATTCAGATTGTGACACGAGTCATTACGCAGGGGTTATCTACATTATCCACAGCGCACTTCCTGGTGGCTTGTTCTCATTATGTATCACTTGAGAGCGTCTGAGTGACGTGCGCCACCTAGTGGTAATATTTTATGTTACTTGTCCGATCAGGTATTTGGCTCAATATCAGACGGGTTTGAAAATCTTTACATCGGCCCCAACCCTACATACTTTTTCCCCACAATACTGAGGCGAGGTACTGTGATTCCCACCGCTACTACAAACCAGCTGGTGAAGACTTAGCGTTCTTCTTTCAGAAGTGTCTCAGTGAATACACGACAGTCTGACTTAAATGAGGATAAAATGAAAGCTAATGTGTAGCAGTTACAGAGGCTCTCCTGTTCACGGCTTACAGCCTGACAGGGATGACATGTTGGCATGTAGGCAAGATGGTTCAAGAGACTGCCATCAAGTCTCTGCACCCCACCCCACCCCACCCGCTCTTGACAGGTAAACTGCTCTGTAAAGAAATTAGTGAGAGTGTTTCTGTGTGGAAACAAAAGGCAGCTCTGTACTTGCTGCATGTTGAAGCTGCTTCTTATATCTGCGTTTCTCACATTTGCTTGAACCTGATAAACACTACGTCACCAGTTCAGGTTTCGCCGGTAAGCAGAGCGAGCACCGGCCGGAGCAGGTGGCCCCTCTGAGCCTGAGGAATGTAAATAGAAACGGTAACTCGAGCCTAATGTTCCTCCGCAGCCGCCTCGGTCCGGCTGCAGCTGAAAGTGTTGACGCGGATGCAGCGCAGCTCTTGTAAAATTAGATCAAGTGTGTGTGTTACATTTGGTTTTCAATTAGACTTGTCCTCTGATGTGTGTGTAAGGAATACATGTGTGTTTTCTTAACAGTAAATCCTCAGCACGGACACTGTCACAGGTCCGGCCTGTGTTTTCAGGACAGAAGTCAGTTCAAGCTGCAACAGGCAGAAGTTCATTCAGACCACAACACCACTTCAGCAGCTTTTAAGCCAACAACTTTGCCTCTGTGATTATGAGTAGCCTATCAGGTTGTGCTGGAGTCTTTGTTTTCCGTTACGTAAATATATTCTGTCGTTAGTTGATCAACACGACCAACAGATTGTCCTGTTGCTTGGGCAGTGTTTCTTCTTGCGTACCTTCCTGACATTTCACTGGGGTATATACGGTGTATGAGGGTATTTGTGTTAAAAAAGCAGGCTTAACAAACTCTGAGCTTATCCCTGAGCTCTGGGTTGATTGAGCCTGAGGTGGGGAAACTCTGAATTTTCAGAACAGCTGATCAGAATAAGTTCAATCAGCTCTGAGTATGTTGAACCTGATGGAAGTGCGTGCGTGGGGATGAAAAAAAGCCATCATCAATGGGTCTCCGATACGACGATACACCACTTTTTGCAGTGGAAAATGTGTCTGTAGGTTCAAACTGACTGTAAAGTTTTAGACCTGGTTTTAGTCTATTTTACATAATAATAATAATAATAATAAAATATTGCTCATTTCGTATTTTATTAATGCTGTCAAAACGCATTCAGACTATAAGCAGCTAATAAAGAAAAAATCACTTTTAGACCTTATTTAGGCCTGTTTGTTTCAGCTGCACCACCGTCTTCCTCTCTCAGAAATAGTCACATTATCTCCAGTTGATAACGATGATGGGAATGTTCCAATCAGTGCGACTACAACATGAAAGATTACTGTTCATTGATCAGTTTTATAGGTTACATATTAAACAGTGATTACTGCAGTAATGCAGCCCACAGTAAGTGTTTTCAGTGCAACTGTCCACAGAGTCGCAGTGTTATACCTAACCTCCTCGGGAGGAGGAGGCTGGAGTTATTGATCTAGGGATTATCTGATCTCGCTCTCTGAAACAGAAAACCCAGAGTTTCCCTGCGAGATGGAACTCGGAAAAACAGGAAACAGTCGTTATTTCTTTCACTTATTTGACATCAAGGCTGTTTCTCTTGTGTTCTTGTGGACGTCGCAGCCAAAATACTGTTCCAATTCAAAAGTCCGCAGCCAAGTAAAGTCAAATACCCAGATGTGATCGCTCCGCCCGTTTTACCGAGCCTGCATCGGTGGTGACTTGTGTGGACTTCGGATCGCCAGATATCCCAGGATGCATTTCGCTGCCAAAAAGTGGAAATGTCGGACGAGAAAACTCTCTAAACTGTCTAGATCAGCGGCTGCTGCTGTTGGCGTTTTACTATGTGATGTCCAGCTGTATTGGCAGAACAATGGCTAGATCTATTTGTCAGTTGACAGAAAATGACTCGCTGAGTATTTTGATGATTGATTAATCATTTCATGGCATAGGACGACAGATGTTTGCCAGCTGTGAGAGGTGGAAACAAACGACAGGTGGACAGTGAAAACTTAATTTAATCTCCATAATATGCTCTGTGTTTGGCATGTGGTACAGAACGAGGCACAGTATCAGTTTGCATTCCTCTCCAGTATTGATTAGGATATTAAATTTACATATAAGGCCATTTTTCAGTGTAGTCACATCCACAGCTACAGGCTCATTGTTATAACTCTGGATTTATTAAATAGCCCTGAAAGTCTTCAACTGGCTTTAAAACAGGCCAGGTTTTTCGAAAGAAGGGCAGATTGCGGTTGAGAAGTATCCAGCGTTTCCACACTCAACCTTTTGACTGTTATGTGCACTGCATTTTGCCATACTCAAAATAGCAAGTACAGAAGAATGTGAATTGAGACACAGCTTTGTTTGTACCAAAACAAAATATTCTACAAAATCGAGACTGTAAAGTTAGACATGTTTCTCTGCGGGCTGTAATTTGAAAGGTTTGACGGATCAGCAGTGGTCATCTAATCTGGAGTCTTAAAACAATCATTTATTCTGTTTTTGTGGTTCTGCTTCATGTGTTGCCCTGTTGTTGGCGCATCTTGGTGAAGCTGTACAGCTTCACACCCTCTGCTCCGCCGTGTTCCAACATGTCCGCCGTGATGAGCTGGTCTGGAGCACCATCACATAGTTTATTAAATAAACCCCCGGCTGCTGTGGATCACGTCTGGCTCTGCGGTCCACGCGGTGATGGCTGTGATGCCGTCCTTTGATTTGCCCTCTCTGTAGTATCACACAGAGTATTCATGGCAGAACTATCTCTACTAAGTGAATCTCAGGGTGTTTGATATTCCCTGTTGATACTCTTCAATTTTCACGATGAAAAACATGTATTTCTCCATTTTTTTTTCAGCACAGGGAGCCTCTGAAAACACACTTAAGAGGA